GCCGGGGTGGGTTGGATTTATAGGCGGCACAGGTCGGTTGGTGGTGGTCGGTTCCCCGACGGAGTCGGTCGCGCGCCAGCGCTTGCCGACCTGGAGAGGACGGAGACGAAGCTGCGTGATGCGCACGCGGATTTGGTGGGGAGTAGCACCGTGGGAGACGGGACTGGAGGGGAGACCACGTCACTTTGGTGACTGACTCTAACAGTATAGGCATAGCACGACCCAAATTTAAAATAGGGCATTGTTTAGATTCCAATTTTTTTCACTCTCTCCATCACATCAAATCATTGACACATGCATGGAGTATTAAATATAGATAAAAAATAATTAATTACACAGTTTGATTGTAAATTACGAGACGAATCTTTTGAGCCTAGTTAGGCCATGATTGGACAATAATTATCAAATACAAACGAAAGTGCTACAGTGCCAAATTCTGATTTCTAACACTCATCTAAACAAGACCTAGGTTGTTCATGGTGTTTTATCCACACAAAACAAGCTTCAACAGGCTAGGCGAGTGACCCACTTTAGGTGAAAGCCGACGTGGGACGCAAATAAGCGTCCTCTCTCCGTCCTTCTGCGTCTCCACGCAGGCGTCAGGCCCACCACCACGAGGGAAGGGGACGATCGGAGCCCGGTCCGACGAGAGCAGCGCCTCGGGGTCGCAGCACCGGAGCTGGCTCAACGCGGATTGGAGCTGAGGAAGGGGTCGTAGGTGCCACTCTGGCGGACCGCAGGGCCATGCCGCCAGTGCCGCTCCGACGGCGAGCGGAAAAGAGGGCAGCCAGATCTCGTGTTGAGGAAGGTGGTCTCAGGTGCCGCTCGTGGTGGCGACGGAGACGGCTCGCGCGCGGCGGGTCTCACCCGCGGTGGTGCTCGCGCCGCTGCGGTGCTTGCGAGGCAGTGGACGAAGGGGCCCGTGCAGGGGACGCTGCCAGAGCTCGTCCGCGCGCCTCACCGAATCTCGTGCGGGAGCTCGCAGCTCGGTGGCCTCGCCCGTGGCAGCGCTCTGCCCGCGGCGACGCTCGCGAGGTGGTGGACGAAGGGGCCGCGCCGCGAAGGGGCCCGCACCGGGGACGCTGCCGAAGCTCGTCTGCGCAAAGGGGCGCCGCGCCTTGCCGGATCTCGCACCGGAGCTCGCCGCTCGGTGGCCGGCCATGGGGAAGACGAAGATGGAGGAGCAGGCAGCACCGGGTGGAAGAGGAGGAGGTCGTCGTCGCGGAGGTAAGCACCGGCACGGCAAGGCGGGTCCGTGGCGGCGTGCGCGTCGGGCAGCGCACGGCTGGGTGACGTTCCGGGCTTCTCGTTTGCATCGACTGTTGAAAAAGGGAAGTTTTGGGTCTGTGACCCTTTCGCTGTGCGCTACTCAAACCATCGAATGCCTCTTGTTTTTAGGTACGGGCTGTTGGAGACAGTCTTATCTGCATGCAAAAGAAGACGTCGTTCATGATGTGACGTCCACCACGGCACCAGCGAACAGCGGTGGATGGCTGGAAGGTCGTGGTACAACAGCTGCACCTTGACAAACGAACATTATTTTTCTTTTACAATAAATCAGCATAAACATCAGTATAAGCTAAATTTCAGCGAAACGCCTCAAATTGTGTCACTAGGATATCTTTGTGAAATGCTGCAGCTCCAGTCTCTCTCACTCCATTGTGCGTCTCATCTTGAGTCGAATTCAACCGATGTTTCCCAAAATGTAAGTGTCGCTAGATTTTCTTAAATTTTACGGAGGCACTAGTCTCCGGACGTCCGACGCTAGCAACGTGTCCGCATGCAACTCAGCCACCTGAACCATGGGCTGGCGTCGGGGCCCACCAATAGTACCATCCCATCTCAGCATCCCGTGTAACAGAAAAACTGAAAGGATCAAAGCGCTACCTATCCGCGTAACAGAATGGGAGAGCGTGCGCTCGTGTCCGTGCCACCATCCGCAGTGCGCCCCCTCCACTGCCCCCCGCCATGCCCCTTCCGCAGTCTAAAAATGATGCAAGGTAGTAGAAGACAAGAAGGAGATACCATGACGAGACAGCAGAAGGCGAGGAGGCAGATGTAAACATCCGATCTACTTTTGAAACATCTAGATACAACGCTTGCAACATACGTACGAAGACAAGATAAAACACTTAAAACATGCGTTGGAAACACTTGCAAAAAACACATCCAACACTTAAAAACTACTGCAACACATACGCAATATCCAGATAAAACACTTGCAACATATATGTGAAACACATGCAACATCTAGACAAACACACTTGCAACATACGTCTGAAAAAACAAATGAAACATTGGGAACAGACGTTTGCAACATACGTGTACAACCATTGCAACATATATAATATCTAGATCTACTTTTGCAGCATAAATACGAAACACTTGCAACTTAGATCTGAAAACTTAAAATATAAGCTTGCAACATACGTTTTCAACGCAATGTCACCTTGACTGCTTGGACGAATGGAGCTCGTCGTTGTGGAGCTCAACGCCGGCGCGGACGTCGACGGCGGCGCATGGAGCTTGCCGGTGCACCAGCGGAGTGGCGAGCACTGCGCGACCTGGGCGAGTACCCCTAGAAAGCAGGATGGAAGGGCGAGCACGTGCGGCTGTGCGCGACGTGGATTGGGAAGAAGGCTGCGTGACTGGGAGGAAGGTACTGCGATTGGGGATGGAGCGCGTGGCGTGGGATGGGGGTGTTGCACGTCTCGTGGCGGCGAGGCAGAGAGGACAGCGCGGTGAAGCCGCACGCCAGCGAATTAGGAATTTTTGTTGAAGCAGGGAAGCGTGATTTTTTTTTTAGAAAAGGTCGCTGGTAGTGAAGAAGGGAAGGCTCAGTTGCCTTGTTGGGCCTGATCGCTGTGCCAGGCCTAGTAACGGGGCATCTGGACGAACACTCTCACCGGAGTATTAGCGTAAATTTTAACAGATTTATAAAAAAATATTAAATTTAAAATCTAGCCACTAAACTTTATACCAATTTAGCTCTTGAGACTACAAACAGGAAGTCTAAAATATTGTCTAAAGTTTAGACCATATCATAAAGCTTTAGACCAAAGTTTTAGCCCTCAACTTTAACAACTAAGCTTTAGACCAAAGAATCCAGACAAGCCCCTTATTATGCAACTATAAATTAATGATTTTTTGTAAATATATCCGGTCAAAGTTGGCGCCGGTTATTTCGTAACGGAGAATGCTTCCAGTTTCAAAAAAATACATTGAACTTCTGAGTAAGTAAGAATACTCACACGCGGACACGCACATAACCCTACCTAAGTACTCATCCCGAAAACCACTGCTATATTTGACCTTACACCTGAGCGTCCATTTGGTACACACACGTCGGCCCCTACTTTCACGAATACTGTTAGGTACGGTAAAAGTCCGTTATGGCCCGTTCGGTTTGCTGAAACTTGGCTGAAAGTGGCTGAAAAATAACGTTCTGGCTGAAATATTGTGAGAGAAAAATACTGTTCCGGCTGAAAAAAGAAGCCGAACAACCCGGATTTAAGGTAAGCCGAACGGGGCCATGTTGTTGGGATTTCATGCTTCGACTTGATCTTGGTAGGTCTTTGTTCGCTCGTGATAGCAATGGTTGGTTAATTAGTATTTTGCCATGCAATTATGTCGGGTATCAGTATTAGAGATACCTGGAAGAAGAAAGCTGGTGGCCACGAACGTTAACTCACCCGGATGGTCAAAAACGTATTTTGGTCTTGCTTGATCTTGAAGGTACGGGCTCCATCACGCCTGACCTCGAGGGCGCGGGCCCCGTCTGGCCCGATCATGAGGGCGCGCGCTCCATCTCGCTAGACCCCTCGAGCGCGGGCTCTGTCACGTCTGATCCCCGAGTGCGCGGGCCCTGTCTCGCCCGACCCTGAGGGCGTGAGCTCCGTCACGTCTGATCCCGAGGGCGCGGGCTCCGTCACGTCTGAACCCGAGGGCATGGGCTCCGTCTGGCCCGACCGCTCGGGTGCGGACTTCACCTCGCCAGACTCCTCGAAGGGGGATTCCGCCTCGCCCAACGGGGGTCCGTACCACCTCCAACCACAACGGGTCTAAGAGAATGAACCCAGGGTCAAACTTCTGACACCAGAAAGGGAGTAGGCGCGTCCTGACGTGACCCGCGGCCACGATGGGCCATACCTAAGGACTCACGTCGCCAATAGTGTCGGGCGTGCCGGCGCTATGCTACCTAATCCCCATACAACTTCCGAAGGAGGTATCTGCTAACCATGCCACCCGTCGGGATGGAATAGAGCACCACAACCGGCTGACGACGCCCACGTATAGCGCCAGTGATGAACAGGGTCGCGACGTGGAGCCGTCCCCATCATCATCTACAAGACCGATAGGACCCGCGTAAAGGAGATGAAGGGCGCCGTGACCCCAGAGGCCTTCTTCTTCTCTCTCTCTCTCTCTCTCTCTCTCTCTTGTGTAACCTATGCCTTTCCCTTCATCTATAAAAGGGGAAGCAGGATGCTCCACGAAGGGCACGCTGAACGGCGGAACAAGACTCAACTCCGTTCGACATTTTCATCAGAGACTTGGGTCCTGCTCCCTCTCTTGCCCATTTGTAACCCATACTAGAAACTAGTGTCGGTAACACGAGCAGCAGCAGACTGGATGTATGTGTTGAGTTGTGATTCAAATTCAATTATGTACAAGATAAATGCTAACTTCTGACGGAGCGAAGCGAGGCCCATCACCGGGAGGTTTGGGCCGAAGCGGTACGGATCGTCGCCTATTAGGGTTTTTCCATCTCTATATATACTTCCTGTAAGCCGTCGTCTTGGGATAAGATAAAAGATATAAATCCCCGACGTTTGTAACCTCACCCGATATAGTGAAGATTTGCTGGCTAGCGCTGTGGTTTTTCCCTTCTTCCTTCGGAGGGTTTTCCACGTTAAAATCTCATGTCCCCTATGTTTGATCTACTGTTCTTCATCGTTTATAACAAGTGGTACCAGAGCTTGGTTTCACATTAGGGTTTCGCGATGGTATCGATGAAGTTTGATCTACCGCTGCTGGATTACAAGACGAGATTTGCGTTGTGGCAAGTTAAGATGCGGGCGATTCTGGCACAATCTTCGGATCTTGATGAGGCGCTGGATGGTTTCGGAGGCAAAGGGCAGAAGTCATGGACCGCTGAAGAGAAGCGGAAGGATCATAAGTCTCTGTCTCTGATTCAACTTTATCTACATAATGATATTTTGCAAGAAGTGTTGCAGGAGAAAACTGCCGCAGAACTTTGGCTCAAGCTGGAATCGATATGCATGTCCAAGTATCTAACTAGTAAGATGCACGTGAAGATGAAGTTGTTCACACACAAGCTGCAGGAAGGTGGTTCGGTGATGAACCACTTATCGATCTTTAAGGAGATCGTTGTCGACCTAGTGTCGATGGAGGTAAAATATGATAATGAAGATTTAGCTCTTCTACTGTTATGCTCATTGCCTAGTTTATTTGCAAATTCCCGAGATACCATACTATTAAATCGTGATGAACTAACCCTTGCGGAAGTATATGAGGCCCTCTAGATGAGGGAGAAGATGAAAGGTATGGTTCAGTCTGACGTGTCGTCCTCCAAGGGCGAAGTGTTGTAGGTTAGAGGCAGGCCTGAGCAGAAAACCTACAACAACAACAATAATCGAGACAAGAGCAAGAATGGTAAAGGTCGTTCGAAGTCTAGAGGCAGGGATAAGTTCTGCAGGTATTGTAAGAAAGATACTCATGTCATTGATGATTGTTGGAAGCTGCAGAATAAGGAGAAAAGAAAAGGTACATATAAACCGAAAAACAAATCCGATGGTGATGGTAAGGCCTCTATTGTCTCCGCTGTTGATAGTTCTGATTCAGGAGACGTTCTTGTTGTTCTTGCTGGTTGTGTTGCTAGTCGTGATGAATGGATACTTGATTCTGCATGCTCATTTTATATATGCTCTAACAGAGATTGGTTCAGTTCTTACGAGTCTGCGCAGAGTGGAGATGTCGTGCGTATGGGTGATAACAACCCATGTGAGATCGTGGGCATTGGCTCCGTTTAGATCAAGATGCATGATGGCATGATACGCACACTGAAAGATGTGAGACATATACCAGGGATGGCCAGAAATGTCATCTCCCTCAGCACACTTTATGCCATGGGGTACAAACACTCCGGTTCAGGTGGAGTGTGTAAGGTATCAAAAGGCTCTCTCATTCATATTATAGAGTTCATAAACCCGGGGTCCCTCATGGACCAGCTTCCCAACAAAGGCTCAACCCAGCAGACAACGTTGCGAACGATGCACAAACTCCTAGGCCGGCCCGAACACCTAAAACGACAGGCTAGAAGGACGATCCAATCTCCGACCAGAAGGCTTGGCCGAGGAGGAACGGCGCCCACTTCCGACTCCAGCCCGCCTCTTCGACCAAAAGGCCTTGCTCAGGAGGAACAACACCTACTTACGACTCTGGCCCGCCTTCGGATGACCTCTCCGATCGGAAGGCCTGGCCAAAACACCACTTCCGACATTGACCCGCGTCTCCGACCGGGGATATGCCAAACCCCTGCTTATAGCTCTTCTCCGACTGGCACAATCAGAGCCGACTAGGACCAACCGACCGGGGACGCCCGCTCGGTAAGGACCAGGAAACGGACGGAGAAAGTAAGGCAGGGCACTCAAGTCAACCGCCATACCAAGGACCGTACCCTATACACCTGCAAGATAATACCCTGCAACCTTCCTGGCATGTCAGAACCCAAGCAGTGTTGTAGGCGCCAGCATTTTCCTATAGTGTTGTGGGCGCCATCAACTCCCATACCAGACAAACATGGTAAGGTTCCCCCACGTGCCTTTGGGCATCAACAGTGTTGTGGGCGCCGGCATTTACCATACCAGGCGAACATGGTAAAACCCCCTACATGCCTCTGGGCATCAACAGTATGGCAGGCACCGACGTCTGTCATACCAAAAGAAGACAACGCAACCTCCCACATGCATCTGACATTAACAGTGTTATGGGCGCCTACAATCATCTTGTACCCGACGGCGTGGGAAACAAGACTTAGCATACATACACTCTCCCTCTCTCACTTGTAAGACCATCCCCTTCATCTATAAAAGGGGATGCGCTCTCTCCCAAAAAGAGAGGTCGATCATTTCACTGAGATCAAATTAGTTCACTCATACACAACAGCAGAACCACCAGGTTCAACCCTTGAGCGCACGCTCAAACACTTAGCACATAGCGGAGCTCCCGTCACTCTTGGCCCTTCAGACCAGGTCTTATCGGACCTCTTATACCCCCATCTTTCTCCATTCCGTTTGTAACCCCACAACAAACTTTGAGCACCTGGTCTCAGGAATAAAGTCACCAACCGACTCGAACTAGACGTAGGGCACGTTGCCTGAACCAGTATAAACTCTGTGTCATTGAGTGCTAGGCCACATCCGATCACAATGTATGACAAAACTACAAATATTTACGTGTTGGTCACTTTCTGCACCAACAGTTGGTGCCGTCCATGGGGAAGACGCTGTACGTTCACACTTTTGGTCATCGGATGGCCCACTTTTCCGCCATCTACACCATGGCGGGCTCAAGCGATACGATTCGCTTCGGCTCACTGGAGTTTCCCGCACTCTCACCTGTTGGGATGTGGGTTCCACCCGTCTTCGAGCCATCCCAAGCCTTCCTCTTCAGAAGCCTGGACTTCGTCGCCGATCGGCTCGGCGTACTACACCTCCGTGAGGAGGCACTCATTCTAGCGCCCATCGGAGGGGCGCCCTCCATCGGCTCTGGGACACATGACGACTTCAACAACTAGGCGCCTGCGCTTCATTACGAGCAAACGCTCTACTCAAACCCCACTGTGAGTAATGTACGAACTGTTATTTACTTGCTCTTTACTGTCTTCCCCCGATTCTCCAGAGGGACCCTGTTGCCCTGCCACGACCGCCATGCGACCGGTTCCCCTACGACCTCGCATCCCCCCATATCCGTACGCCCGGGGACTCCGAAGGATGCTGGCGCCGCCCTCTCTCACGTCCAAATTCGTGGGGATGGCGAGCTATGCTCCCACTTGTTTCCTCGACCTCATAGAAAATGATGTCGAGAGCAACAGCTCTAGCATCGGTGATGTGGCACCTAGCCACCGTCCGTCCCAAGAGTGCGCTATGGCGGATGCTCCGGGACAGCCACCGGTGGTAGCGGAGTCCTTGCGGACTCACACCCCTCCGGACCCTCGTACAGGGCCCTCGCGCCCACACAGAGGCACGGCGAGGAGCTACGACAACGGTGGCAAAACCAGCCACCACCTACGCTGGCACGCCAGACGCACCGCGCTGTGCCCCATGCGCGTAACCAGGCAGGTGGCACCTAGGGTTGCGCCCGCCAGGTCCAGCGCAACATCATGGACAGGGGGAATAATCCCCCATAGTTTGCTCGGGCTGGCCAGAACATCGCCGCCATGGCAATGCTTCTGTGCGGCCTTCCCGAGCCGAATGACCCCCAAGAACTGGCGATGCACCGGAACCTCCAGGCACTGGTGGAAACCGCTGCTGTTCAATAGGAGGAGAGCTCCATATCACGACACCGACTTGCGGCCCTTCTCCCCACTAGGGGAGTGGGGACGCACCAGACGAATCACTCCATCTGCTCACTGCTACGGTCGTCGAGCGCGGCATAGGAGGCCACAGCCGCACCATGGTCTGACCTAGCGCCCGCTCCACACCGCCCCCCTGTGCGTGAGTGGCTCGGGCCGAACCAGGACGCTCGCAGCATCATCAGCAACCGGTGTCGGGCCTAGCATGATGATGACATCCATCGAGTGGCAGTGAGGGCAGGTGACACAGACCCCGGCCGGACCATCACGAGGAGTGGTGAAACGCACCCCAGGCGCGGTCACCGGCCAGATGACCAGAGTCCCTAGCCGGATGGCCTAGGACCATGGGCCTTTGGCCGACGCATCCAGAGAGCGCCATTCCCATAGCACTTCCGACCGCCTACCAACATCACCAAGTATACCGGGGAGGCAAACCCCGGTATATGGCTTGAAGACTTCCGGCTCGCCTACCAAGCCAGCGGAGTGGATGATGACCACTTCATCATTCAGTACCTCCCTATCTACATTGGGGAACTCATGAGGGCATCCGTGATTGGGTGGACCTCATGAGGGTCTTCGTCAGGAACTCCTAGGGGATGTATGTCTGCCCTGGGAACTCCTAGGACCTCAAGAGCTACCAGCAGGAGCCCAGCGAGCCCCTATGGGATTACATCCACAGGTTCTCCAAAAGATGTAACTCCCTCCCTGATGTTGTCAACGCGGACGTCATCATCACATTCCTCTCTGGGACAACCTGTGAGTCCCTGATCCACAAGCTTGGTTGCCTGAAGCCCCGTACCACCTACGAACCTGCTAGATATTGCCATGAACCACGCCTCCGACGAGGAGACGGTCAGAGCGGTCTTCAACGGAGGCCGGGACAAAGGCAAGGCCAAGCGCGAGGATCAGGCGAGGGCCCCTCCACATGGAGGGGCAAAAAGGACAAGAAAGATCGTCGCCGACCGGCCAACTCAGCGTTGGTCACCGCGGTTGATCACACGGGCAAGCAACCCTAGCAGGGCCTCCCGAACCACTTCAATGAGCTCATGGAGAGCCCGTGCACTAACCACACCTACCCCATCAAGCACCTCTACAAGGATTGTGAGCTCCTCAAGCGCTTTCTATGACAGGCCGGCGGGCCGAAGGAAGGAAAAGGCAAGGAGGCAGCAGCCAAGAAAGGGGGCATGGTGGGCAAAGATCCGGATGACTGAAGGTCCCTATATGGCGACCGAGGTGATCCGACCGGGTGCCTACCGACTGAAGAACGACAACGGCAACGTTCTCACCAACACTTGGAAGAGCGAACAGCTACGTTATTTTCTTCCCCTAAAATTCAATCTTACCATTTTTTACTTAACGTTTGCTCCTATAAAGCACCCTAGCCCGAACACTTTCAGCCTGGGTCGCTCGGGGGCTCCACGGAGGTACCATACCACCTCCCTTTTCTCTTTTTTCCTATCATATGGTAAAATACCTTCCTACCCAAACGAAAGGGTAGTTCGTTCCTTTAATTATCTTATGTAGCTTTGCTTTAAATATTCCAACCGATCGCACCCCACCTCTACCTATGGTTATGAGCAACTGAGCCTCGTGGGCCATGCCTAGGCTCTTAAGGTTGCAGCCTACGGTATGAACAGGCAGGTGCGAAAAAGAAAAGAATAAAAGACAAAGTTATGCTAAGGTAAAAATAAGGAACGAACGAGACAAGCTTCCCCGAACGAAGTAGTTCCACAACAAAAACAAAGTTATAGTATTCATGTATACACAAAAGCACTTTACACAAGGGGCTCCCCCATGACATTATCTTGTACATTTGCTAAAGTATTTCTACTCTAAACTTCTACTGTGCTCCCCGGTGGCATCGGCTACCGACTCGACCGACGAGGGCAGGGGCTGCTCGTCCTCCGACTGGGCAACGCTCAGCTCGGTCGGAGGCGGGGCGATGTTCACTTCTGACCCAGGCTCCACGCCATCCATAGGCTGGGCGACGTCCTCTTGATGCATGCCTACGACCATGTCCGCATGGCGAGCATCCATCACCCACTGCGCGGAGACTTGCTCGGCCACCAACTTTGCGTGTGGCAGCAAGCCCTCTTTGAGCGAGTGGATGTCCTCCGCGCTCT